GAGGACTCTTTACACTTTTTTAATTCTCTCTAGCTTTCAATGGACTTTGCCATCATCATCAGGCGCTGCAATTACAATGATAACAGTAGCAACAATAGTGTAAAATGAATTTAAATTGACTCAACTTACAGTAGTATGTGAGGATGTTGCTAATTGTTGTTTACGTATAGGATGAGGGAAACGTCCAGTAACATGGTGAGAGCTGGATAGATGGTACAATGGTCAAAATTATATAAAATATGACAAGAACAAGTTAAAAACAGGTTAAAAATTATTTAAAAACATTAAAGCATTACATCGTGAAGCCACTTGATGATTGCACAAAATGGTGGTCATGGAACAATGAGTGAGATGAACCGTTTGACAGAAGGCCGAAGGTTGTCAATGTCTGTGTTGAAAGATGGAACGAATTGTGGGCGTGTGCCAACGTTGCCAAATCACTTCAGATGATGTGATTTTCAGAATGTTATGTAAGAAATTGTTAAACCGACCAGAGACCACGTCTCAAGTTATATATATATATAGATAATATTTTTTCCTGTGTGTTTTTTTTCACTTTATGATACACAGACTGTGTAAATTGAACCATTGTACTATGTATTGCTCTGGTACCTGTTTAGCAATAAATGCTTTATTATTGATATTATTATTATTATATTGAGTTGATATAAAGAGTAAAGATGAGGCGTTTCACAAAGATTGATTGTTTTTAAGTTATACCTTTCAGACGTCCATACTGCCAATAAATACTGTTCTGTGCATACTTACGCAGAGCATACATATTTGTCCCAAGACCCTAATGATTTTCAGCAAGCAAAAAATGGGTTATCAAATGATACTTTTTATCGAAATAATTTGCACCAATCACGAACTACCTACTAATGTAAAAAACAGCAGATATTATAGTTAAATTTAAATCCAAAGCTTGTACTAACATTCGATTGTTACCTAGTGGGGAGACGTTGACACATACGGCAAATTACTCAATTTGGGTGTGATTTTTGATGAAAAACTTACCTGTTACAATCAACTAACAAAGCTAGTTCAAACATCTTACAGTAATCTAAAAGTATTTACAGTCTTAGAAAAACATCATTCACTCCACTAAATGCATGTACACAAACTACACTGCTACGCAAAATTTTGTTCAAATTAAATTTCAAATAATTTCATTGTCAACATTGTCAACTGCCGATCTTTCAAAAAAATTGAAAATGTTTGTTGTTATACAGGGTGTAACTAAAAGTGCATTTTGCCCTAAATTTCTGAACACCCTGTGGAAACATTGCATTACTGAATAATGTAATGTGTCTTCGTATGAGAATTTTAAGCGTCAGCTTTTCTCAACAGTTTTTTTATTCATGTCAACATCTCAATTATTGAAGAATATATGCTGTTATGAATAAAATCATAGCCATAAACAATTTAATTAAAAAAATTACAGTGACATCATTGGTAATTAAAAATTGTTATCAAAAACAAGTATTTCCTCCCCGGTCTTGAATAACAACTTGACAAGAATCTTTTTGACATGCCATAAAAATGCTTACAGGCACAGCCTACTTGAAACAATTTCTTACCCGGCAAAGCCTGCTTGAAACAATTTCTTGTTTATGGCTATGATTCGTATGATTTTCTTCAAAACACCATTTATTCTTCAGTCATTGAAATATTGACATGAATATAAAAAAGAACTGTTGAGAAAAGTTAAAGCTTAAAATTCTCGTGCAAAGACCCATTATTCAGTAATCCAGTGTTTCCACAGGCTGCTCAGAAATTTAGAGTAAATGCATCTTTTAGTTACACCCTGTATAACAACAAATATTTTCAATTTTTTTTGCAAGATCGAGAGTCGATAGTGATAACAATGAAATTACCTACAGCTTGTCGAATAAATTAGCGAAATTGATGAAAAAGTTAAAAAGTTATCTAAAAATTTAATTTGAACAAAATTCTGTTTGTCCGGTCAATTTTGCGTGGCAGTGTATTTGAAATTGAGCAAACTCGAGTCTGCTGTTCAAATGTACACATGTTCCGTGCTTAACTAAAAACGAATCATAGAACAATTACAGAATTCATAAGTACGATTTCCATTTCCATTCCACAGAGCATTCCATCTCATATTAGGAGCCTAAATTGGCTAAACATGAGGTAGAGGTGGGCTGCTCATTTGACAAACATTCGGTTGCTGATAATAAAACGCCCGTATGTATCAGCAAAAAGCTATCCCTAACTGCATGATGTTAGTCCAAGGTTTGTAGATCGCCTTCTATTACTTTTTTTAAATTTGGACATACCTAACGAAAAAAGTGAGACGAACCTAACGAAAAAATTGGGACAAACCTAATGGAAAAAAGTGGGACAAAACTGACGAAATGAAGTGGGAGGAACCTAATGAAAAAAGTAGGACCAATCAAGCGAACAAATTGGGACAAGTCTAACGAAAAAACAGGGACTAGCCTAACAAAAAAGTGAGATAAACCTAATGCAACGAATTAGGACAAACCTGACAGAAAAACGGACAAACCTAACGAAAAAATCGGGACAAGCCTAACGAAAAAGGTGAAAAAAGCCTAACGGAAAAGTGTGACAAACCTAACGAAAATAAGTCAGACAAACCTAGCGGAAAGGTGGGGCAAACCTAACGAAAAACAGTGAAACAAACCTAACGAAAAGAAAGTAGGACAAACCTAACGGGAAGAGTGGGACAAACCTAACGCAAAAAGTGAGACACGCCTACGGAAAAAGTGGGACATACGTAACGAAAAACAGCGAGGCAAACATAACGAAAAAAAGTAGGACAAACCTACGAAAGAGAGTGGGACACACCTATCGAAAAGAAAGTAACACAAATCTAACAAGAAAAAAGTGTGACAAGCCTATCGAAAAGAAGTGGGACAAACCTGACGAAAAAAGTAGGACAAACCAAACGAAAAAATTGAGGTAAATCTAACGAAAAGAAGTGGGACAAACCTAACGAAAAAGATTACGACAATACTAACAAGAAAAATGAACAAGCCTAACAGAAAAAGGTGGGACTAGACTAACGAAAAAAGTGGAACGAACCTAATGAAAAGAGTAGGACAAACCTATCGGAAAAAAGTGGGACAAACCTAACGAAAAAATTGAGACAGGCCTAACGAAAAAGTGGGACTAAGCTAACGAAATGACGTGGGATATACCTAACGAAATAAGTGGGACAAACTTAACAACAATAATATGACAAACCTAACGAAAGAAACTCCGAAAATAAAGTGGGACAAACTTGACAAAGAAAGTGGAACAAATCAAACGTTTATGTGTTATCACGTGAGTCAAAAGTCATGTGGTATGCATAAATGAACTGTCAAAGGTATGCCATTTATAGTCATGGATTCGTTTACAACACAACAATGCATTTTGGTTATCCAAACTTATTACGAAAACGGTCGAAATATAAAAAATACTTTTCGCAAACTTCGCACTAGTTTTGGCCGACATGGACGCCCTACAGAGTCTGGAATTTGTTGGATTGTTGATTGTTTTGAGGAAACTGGTTCAGCTGAAGGTCGTGGACCATACCAACATGCTCGTCCAGCTCGTACTCGTTGAAACATAGCCGCAGTGAGTGAAAGTGTGCGAGCAGATCCAACCACCGTTCGCAACAATTTTGAATTAGTGAGACCACTTTACGCCGGATTTTACACATTGATTTACACCTCCATCCATACAAAATCCAACTAACACAAGAATTGAAGCTGGCAGACCATCAACAGAGGCGTGTTTTTGTTAATTGGATGCTGGAAAGAGAATACGGATTTTCGGCCAAACTACTCTTTCCTGATGAGGCTCATTTTCACCTCAATGGGTAAGTAAATAAGCAAAATTGCAGATTCTGGGGGCTGAAAATCCACACCAATGTCATGAACAACCTCTCCATCATGGTGCGGACTATGGAGTGGTGGCATTGTTGGACCATTCTTATTTGAGGATGCCAAAGAAAAGGCCATTACCGTCAACGGGGAACGCTATGGCGGCATGTTAACAGACTTTTTGTGGCCACAATTGGATCGTATTGGTGCCGACGATCTTTGGTTTCATCAAGACCGAGCAATGGCTCACACATCTCACCAAACACTCGCCTTATTGCACACGAAATTTCAAGACCGCATACTTTCACGAAATTCAGATGTCAGTTGCCCCCCGAGATCGTGCGATTTAACTCCTCTCGACTATTTTCTTTGGGGATTTTTGAAAGAAAAGGTGTATGCGAATGGTTCCCGGACAATTCAAGGCCTAAAGCGCAATATTCGAACTGAAATTGCCAAAGACCGGATTATTCTGGGAAAAGTCATTGAAAATTTTGATGTTCGGATGTTGGCCGGTAAACGAAGCCGCGGTGGTCACATGACTGATGTTATTTCTCATACATAAATGGCATAAACCAACCTTCATTTATCAATAAAAAATTTCGATTGCACCTCGTAAAAAGCGTGCTGATTTTTCAAATAGAAAAAAAAAGTAATAGATGACGCACCGTGTACCTTAAATATTCCCAGACATAAGAGTTCTGGTTTACTGGATTTTTTTCTTTCCCAGTTCAACCGCTAAGATTTATAGTGCTCTTCCGCCTTTTGTTAAACGTTTGTCATACTTCCATTTCAAGAAAGAGGTAAGAGGAATCTTATTTGACAGCTTACTGTAATACTGATGTTTGCATATTATGAAACAGATAATTTTTTAATTTATTTTTTTTTCTCTTACCTCTTCTATATACTAGTAAATTGCAAATCCAAATATTTCATGTTGCGCCTTAAAATGCTAGCATAGCATTTCCTAATTAAAACTTTTCTTTGTTTTATTCCTGTTCTTTCTATATTGCTGTGTGATATTGTACTTAAGGATGTTTTAAAATTATGTTATATTTTTAAAATGTATGCTTATCTATTGTTCTAGTTATATTGCTGTGTTGGAAATGAAAATTTCTCGCTATGATAAACAAAGGCATTATTATTAATTACCTTCCAATAACAACCTCCGAAACTCAGGCGCTAACAGCAACTAATTGCAAAAACAAAAAATATCCAAAGCCATCAAATCCTCATCACGAAATGCTACCGGGCGCAACTTCTTCCGAAAGATCGCGTGAGCGCTGGACCAGTTTGGCAGCAGACGCACAGCCGAAAACAGCGGACGATCGCGCACCAACTGACGGCGACGCCGGCCACGTTCGCCGTCGTGACGCTTCGGGCAGGGCCACAGCTCGCAGACTCCAACGGTGGATTTTGGGTCTTTGTCTGTCGACGAACTGGGCGGTTTTTGGTGACAAGGATGATAACCCTACGCTTTGCAGTCGGATCGGGAGGTCAGTTCTTCTGCAAGCTAACTCAGCACGCTATTCTTACAGCTGCCCGAGAAACGACGCTTTATTCCTTGCAATCAGTAGCGCATATAGAAATTTACCAAAGACTGACTGAAAATGATAGATTTTCCACTTCTGAGGGACAAGGTACAATCTGCGAAAACCAAAAAGTCGCCAAATTTGGCATAACAAAGGCTAAAAATAGCTTCAAAATAAACGAATCTTGACATACTCTTCACGTTCTTGACGGGGGAGGGGTTAGCTTCAGTTTATAGACATAGTCATAGTCAGAGTCATAGTCATATGGTTGTTTATTGACATTTTACACAAAACTGTGTTTATGTAAAATACACTGGATGCTTATTACATTCGACGAGTACGTAAAAAAGGTACAGATCATTGTTAAATAATAGCACATTGAAAGAATAGACACGTTAAAAGTATAGTATACATGATATATAATAAAGAATGAATAACGGACTCATAAATAGTCTGTTATTGAGAGGGGCACAGCTCCACAAGACACCTCTATAGGCCTTTTTTAATTATTATCACATTCTGAAGTCCTTTAAGCTCAGAGGGAAGCTTATTATAGATTTTTATACAGGCATACTCGGGTGACTTTTCAAACATTGTTAATGCATGTGATGGTATGCTCAAATCCATCTCAGCTCTTGTGTTGTAACGAACATTTACGTCTTTATTTTCAACAAACCTACATGTATTGTGGAATGCATATAGAGCGCAGTTAAAGATGTAGACTGCTGGAAGTGTTAGTAGATTATTACTCTTCAATGCAGACCTACACGATTCACGCCTAGGTATGTTAAAAATTAATCTCACTATTATTTTTTGGATTATGAGTGCCCTGTTCACAATACGGTCTTGTCCCCAAACTATTATGGCTCTTGACAGATGAGAGTATACCATCGCATAGTAAACATTAAGCAGCTTGTGTTACACAGTGCTTTTATTTTAATGTGGCAAAATATGCCTTGTTGAGAGTTTTACATATTGAGTCAATATGCATTTGCCAAGTGAGCTTGGAATCCATAATTATCCCCAGAAAAGTCCCCAAGTCAACGCCAACGTCGTGAAGCTGTGACCTACAAGTATTAAAGTGAACGGTAACAGTCTTGTCGGTATTTAAAACCAAACGATTCTTTTAGTAGGGTGATGTTCCTCACATGTAGTACCACTTACTACAACTGAGGTATCATCAGCGTAGCTTATTACGAAGTCAGATAGGCTCAAGTCATTGACAAATAAAATGAGTAACAAAGGTGCCAATACCGATCCTGGAGCAGCTCCAATATTTATGTTGTTCTATTTTGAAACTGTACCGTTCACCTTAACTTGCAACCTGCCTCTCAGATAAAAAAGACAAGACCCAATTCAATAGAAAAAAAAACGATTGCTACGCTGTACAGCTTTTCCTCTAATATGCTGATACTCATAATATCGAACCAAAAAAAATACCAGCTACATATTTGCCGTGGTCTAACTCTTTGTTGATATGGCTGACAAATTCAAATGCCATGCTGGGAATTATTTAGTAAATTAATTATTATTTATTATTCTGGTATGCACTATTTTCTCAAAAATTTTAGAAAATACTGATAGAATAGAGATCGATCGGTAGTTGTCGATTAGCTGAAGTTCGCCTTTCTTGAACACAGGTATAACTATAGCTAATTTCAAGAAATCAGAAAATACGCCCTAATAGATAGACATGTTGACGAGGACAGCTAGTGGATATGCAATTTCGTTGCTGCCACTTGATTTTTTGTTTGGAAGACTGGCTATAATGATTAGCAGAAAGCTCACTAAAAAACATTGATTTTTTAAGTTGTTTGTTGAGCCTGGCTGATGATGGAGCACCTGGATACATTTTATTTAGTTTGTTTTCTGCAAGTGTGGGAAAGTGTTTACCAAATTCCTCCGATACACATGATGGAGTGTCAATCACTGTGTCGATCTCGTTGGTAAGAGAAATAGGTGAGTATTGTTTTTTGCGTCCCAGCTCAGAGTTGACTATCTCTCAGTCTGTTTTCGGCATGTTATCGGCGCGTTCAATTTTATTACTAATATATTCCCGCTTTGAATTGATAATGAGCTTTTTGTGGGCTTTCTTTTCTGCCAGATGCAGTTTCCTTAGATATTCGTCATACTTATCGTCGATGAAACCAGAAAACCGTGTAACTCCATTTTTATCGAAATCGAGGTTTTAGCACCATCTGTTGGCGAACGTCGATTGCTATCTGCAGTAAAAGCCGTGTATCTCCTAACGTAATTTAAATGGATCAAATAGCGCGATTAGGAATCTGTGTAACTCCATACTGCTCAGAAACGGCGCGAAAATTGTGTATCTCCATCTGTCCCTATAGTGTATACAGAGTTATGTTGACGTCGTCTAAAAGTGCTCACTTCAATCATGCGTTTTTATACCACAATTAGTTCAATTGGATAAATATTCCTTAGTTTAAGATTTTTGGATCTGGAGATACACAATTTTGTGTGAATAAGAACTAACGTATTATTGGAGATACATGTTATGCAAACATTTAAAAATCAAGAAATTTCTCTTGCTGCAGAATGTCACGTGGATTAAAAATTCTTGAAATGTTGAATCTGGATGTCCCGATGGCTGCCATTTCACCAGAAAATAATACAAACGTTGTTGGAAATGAAATTGCTTTCGAATCCTCTAGTCCTAGTACTAAATCAGGACATGGCACAATTTTGAACTTAGATATTTCTGATGTATTAACTGAGGCAATTAACCACGACATAATATTTGACTGCAGTCAAGTGGCTGCTAGCCAATCTTATTCACAAGATAACGATTTGTTTCCAAGGTACCATAATATGGATGAAAGCTTATTGGAAAGTAGCTTAAGACCTGCTGATGATCAAGCACAAAGTTTTGATCAGTTGCTGAATGAAGACCGTGCTAATATCGCCATATCTATTGAGAGTGATTCAGAAAATATAAATTATTTGAATACATCGTGTGGACCTATTGAAGGACAACTACATACAAATGATCAGCTTAGTGATGCTAAGTCACAATCTATATCGAAAAAACGTAAACTCCCAGATGGCAGGAGGGATGCCTCTTATGAGCACAATAAGGTCCAAAGGCAGCTAGGATTGCCATATAAAGGTAAAAAAAAGACTGCCAACAAATGGGATTATGAAATAAATAAGCCGGGTAAATTTTTATCATCATCCTTCCAACTGCAAGTTGTCTGATAAAAAGACTAAATTGGAGTGCCGAAAGCTGTCAGAAAAAGAAAGAAAATCACTTTTAAAGTTCTTTCGGAAAAAACCTGGCCAGAAAAAAGACAGTACGTTAAATGTTCGGCAAAACTACACCAAGTCAAACGCCGATCAGTCGCGCAGGAATTTTTCGATCACCTATCACCTAGAAGTTAATTTTGAATCGCACCCAGTTTGCAAGAAAATGTATAACAACACTCTTAGACTTAGAGAGAACTGCGTGCTTTCCTGGATAAAGGCTGACCTAGGTGGCACAGCTGATGATGAAGTACCACAGTCTTTACGCAAATCAGGCAGACAACGTAAAAAAGTGAGCGAAGACTTGAATCAAGGGGTTGTAAATTTTTTCAATTCTATCCCTAAGATGGAGAGTCACTATTGTCGGGCTTCAAGCCAAAGATTATACTTAGAGTGGATATAGCAAAGCAAGCAAGACCTGTATAGGTTCTATAGTGAGCAATATTGTATTGAACAAAACGTCCCCGCTGTTTCACGTACATTGTTTAGCGAAAAAATGACTCAAATGAACATCTCCCTCTTCAGACCCAGAAAAGATCAATGCGACGTCTGTGTTGCATAGAAGACCAAAACTGTATCAGAAGATGAATATGAACGACATTTAGTTCTAAAGGACGAGGCTAGGATGGCCAAGGATGCCGATAAATGCCAAGAGGATCTTGTTTTCACGATGGACATGCAATCCGTCTTACTAGCCCCGCTTAATAAAGTATCCACCATGTACTATAAGACGAAGCTTGCTGTACATAACTTTACGGTTTATAATTTAAAAAATCATGAAGGTTATTGCTACCTCTGGAACGAGACGGAAGATGGGCTAACTGCCAACGAATTCTCTTCAATTATAACGTCCTTTATTGAAACTGAAGTATTACCAAAAGTCGTGAATAAGCCGGTCAAAATTATTTTGTGGAGTGATGGATGCGTCGGACAAAATAGGAATAATGTTCTGTCTAATGCACTACTGAATTTATGCAAAAATATCTTTTCAAGGGACATACACAGATGGAAGCAGATTCTATGCATTCCGCAATTGAAAGGAGAGTACGGAATAGGGACATAAACCTTCCAACAGATTACGTTTTACATTGTCTAAAAGCACGAACAGTCCCATTTCCATATAAAGTTCAGCCTCTTCATCACACATTCTTTAAAGATTTCTCGAATATTAAGTATTATCAAATTATAAGGCCTGGTCGAAAAGTGGGAGACCCAACAGTGACTGACCTGAAAGCTATAAAATATCACTCTGAAGGATTCATTGAGTACAAACTACGGCATAGTGACCAGCAGTGGACACCGTTGGATTCTAGAGTGAGAAAACCTAACAATATTTTTAGAAATTTCGGAGATTTACCGAGCCTTTACAAACAAAGAAGGAGGATTAAAAAAGAAAAATTCGATCATCTGCAGATCCTCAAGGGTTCGCTTGATAAAGATTATCACGATTACTATGATAACATTTTATATCAGTAAGCTATATTATTTTCAATAACATGTTTTTCTAATCTGTATCAGAGTTTTGTTTGTAACTTATA